ACTTAACTGTGTGGATGGAGTAATCTCCACCTGGGCCAATCTGTTGCACTTTTTCCATCTGACCACAGAAAATCTGCAGATAATTGTAAGGTGTGTGGGCACCGTTAGAGACTTTAAAAGACCCAAGACTAGAATTGTAAAGCTGGCCATACACCTTACAGTTATCTGCAGATTTTCTGTGGTCAGATGGAAAAGGTGCAACAGATTCCTCCATCTACACTTAACTGTGTGGATGGAGTAATCTCCACCTGGGCCAATCTGTTGCACTTTTTCCATCTGACCACAGAAAATCTGCAGATAATTGTAAGGTGTGTGGGCACCGTTAGAGACTTTAAAAGACCCAAGACTAGAAACAGCTCTGCTAGAAACAAGAGGCTGATCCTCAAATTTCAGAGTGGTGCACACTGCATCAACAAGTGAAATCTTTTACTTGGGAGTAATAGCAGTGGATTGCGACTACTCAGGCACAAGCTCATCATGCAGTCTCAGCAGCTGAAGGTTTAGAAGTCGACCAGGCCCGTGGGTAGATCAGATACAGAATTTGCAAGAGACTGAGTAAGAGTGCGATTGTGTCCTGTGCAGAGAGTCAGCAAGTAACTGGGTGATTTGAGTTATGTCTTGCATGATTGTAGTTAATAACTACAGACAAACTGGCAGAGGAACCGGCCACGCTTAACAGAGCTAAAGAGGAATCTGATGACGGAATTGAGTCTAGAAGCAGAGGTCAACAGAATTTCAGGTTGCAGACGTCAGCACCATCAGGAGACGAACTGCAAGCAGCCTGGACCCCTTAGTAGAGTGTGAGCTGGATGGAGCCATTACAGTGGGACTATACCCCCTGTCTAAAATTAAACATGTTGCAACCAGGTGGTGGTAAGGCAATTTAAGGCTCAGGAAGAAACTAAGGCCTCAGGTATCTACAAAAGCCAGACAGCTGGTAGCAGGTGAGGGTTAGACAGGCTGAGGTGACCAAACACCATAGAAAGGTAGCAGGAATGGTTAGAAAATCAAAGTTTCCTTTAATCAAAGGCTTTTTACAAGCAGGTGCAGCAAATTGTTCATCGATTGAAGAGTGCACGTTTGACACTTCACCCAGCAGATGTCAGTGTTCAGAGCAACAGTGCCATTGCGTGGTGGAAACTACTGAGAAACAGAATGTCTATGGCCTTTGGGTGGGAGCTTCCAGTGCAAAGCCTGTCCAGCTTGCACACAGTGAGTTTTAAGAGTCAGGACAAGCGTGGAGGCAATGCGAGTGGCTCTAGCCATGGAAAATGCTCAGTGGCTAACTTTTTACTAGAACCTAGTATGGAAAGCAGCCGTGTGCAGAATCCAATGCTTGAAGGTCACTTTCAGGTTATCCTTGCAATGTCCAAGAGGGGGGCGGCGGGGAGACATGCCGATGGTAAGATCGGTTATCCTGAGCTGGCCTAGAGGTTTTCTGTTTACTAGTGTCCAATACTCCTGTAGGTAGGCAGCAGTATAACCCTACAGCTAAATACTTCCCATGTCCCTCAATTGACATTTTTTTTGTTCTATTGTACATGCAGCTAAATTGATGTGTACAGTCACATCCCACTAATATTGTTAAATTAGAGAAGTCTGATCAAGAATACATTATTTTGTTCAGACCATTGCCTTTTTATAATAGAAGAAATTAACACATTAGCATTTCAATCATAAATCCCCAAAATAAAGATCTCATTTCGTATTTAAGAACCGTAGATTTGATTTGTGATATTGGTTTAGCCACAGGGTACTTTTGGCAGATAGTTCACATTCACTACTAGGGTATTAAGGAATATTAGGTGGTGCTCATTAAGGAAAGAACTGGGTTAAAGGAAACCTGTCATCTGTATGAAAATCACCAAGTTTTCCTATAAGGCACCGCCTCATTAAACCTCCTTATTGACTAATAAGACCACACATGGGGGGGGAGATTTATCAAAATCTGGCACAGATGTGCATATCAACCAATCAGGTTCTATCTTTCATTTTCTTTTTTTTAGGCATGTCAAATTTTTATTGAAAGACATAAGAAGGAATCATTACACAAAGATCCTTTGTCAGTACATAATCATGTGTCACGTTTCAATTCGCAGACTGAGATCTATACTTGTACCATTAAGTATATTCACACTCTAAAGAAAGACAATAAAACAATGGAAAAAGTGCGATATCAGACCGTGACCTTGTGATGGATGTCCCATCGCTTGTGAACTGTATGTCCCTGTAGCCCCTAAGGTCGGTACTGTTGCGAGGAGGCCCGTTTGAGCCAGTGAGGGTAATTGTAGTTGTGGGCCTATGGAGGGGCATTATCTTCCTACTACCTGTGGCAACCGTGGTTTCTATCTTTCATTTTCAAAGCTTGACAGAACAAACTGAAGAGAGATGCTGATTGGCTGCTATGGGCAATTGCTCCAGATTCTGTCTGCTCCAGTTTTGATATATTCCCCTCACTATGTTCAATGGAAGCCATTATTGACTTCTGGTTAGTTTTTGCCTTTTTAATTCATATTCTAAAATGTTGTGTTTTCGATCTATCCACACACCCAGTTTGTCATGTATTGCATTTTTTATTTATAAAAAGGACTCACTAAACACTATGGATTAGCTAAAGAGAAAGCAGGTGCTCCTTAATTTTCTGCCTCAATGGTTTTGAGCCCTGGTTCACGCCTAGACGTATTGCATATGCGCGTCTGTCACGCGGTAAAAAAATAACGCGACAAGCGCGCGTTTCCGAGGGCTACTTGGCTGTATCCCAATGGAAACGCGCAACAAAACGGCCCAAAGTAGTACCTGTACCTTTTCAGGCGTGGGCCGTTTTGTAGTGCGTTAGGGACGGGCTACGCCAAGGTGTGAACCAGACCCATTGAATACAATGGGATTTAGATGTTTGAGCGTTTTGTCGAACGTAGAACGCGCTACAAAACGTTCAGGTGTGAACAAGGGCTAAGACTTCAGACTGAGCAGTCTTAAGCTGGCCATACACCTTACAACCATCGCAAGACTTGTGATGGTTGTAAGGTAATTTAAAAAAAAAAAAAAAGTACAATCTGCCCATCTTGGACACTCAGATCGTACTTGCGATCATTGCAAGCCCGCCCCGCCGAATCTATGCCAATGTGCCACACAGGTATTCAGCATTACATTCGCCAACAGAGACGGAATAAAACAACCAAAAAGGTAGGGAGGGCTATAGGCAGCTACGGCTCTTCGAGGGTGGTCCCACATTCTTCAGAGCTATGTCAGTTTACTTTAAAATGTTAAAAAGGGATTACATTAGTATGTTGTAGCACTTTTTCCATCTGACCATAGAAAATCTGCAGATAATCTATAGGTGTATGGCCAGCTTTTGTGGGATCATTGATGGAGGAGGGGACACTACAAGGCAAGTTTGCCATAACGTCCAAGTTGCACATTATGTGATCAATTCGTTTAATGGTCATCAATGTCAAAGTTTGGGATGGAATGTCCTCATCACCACTAGTCTGATGGTGTGCCTTCAGTGTCCAGCTATCGGTGTTGGGCATGGATGTGACTAAGTTGTGTTGCTTCACTGAAGTAGGAAATAAAGTCTAGTAATCAAGCCATCTCTACTTTGAAGGAAACCTTTGCTGAGAGGAATATGGCGTCTGCCATTGCTGATCTCTACTCCTCATAATATGATAGTCACTTGCTGTCATGCCGTTTCAATGGCTTCAACCCTTCAGTCACAGTCCCTGGACAGAACAACAGTGTAGATCAAGAACTTTAATTTCACTCCAATTTTTAGTGCATGCTTACCCTGGAGTCAGTGACTCAGAAATTACTGAAGCCAAAATGTCCGCATGACAGCCAGGCAACTAGAATTTTTAGGCACTTAGCAATACCAGCCCACATTGAACACCGCTTTCTTTCAAGCAGTGTTGCGATATTTATAATATTTTAACAGATTAGTGGCTGCTTTTACTTGATGCACGGGGTTGTTCATTAAACAACTGAACAAATGTTTTGCTTTGCCAAAGCTTGAACGTCATTGGCCGGTACACCAACATTACTGGTAGGGGTACAAAACAGAGCTGTGCCCACTTCATCAGCATAAATAGAGATCATCCTTCCTGACCAGGCTAGATCAATGGGAGGGAGAGATCAACCTTTAGATTCTAACACCGATGATCCATATTAGTGGGGTCTTGCTTTTCACACCGAATGATCCATATTAGTGGGGTCTTGCTTTTCACATCAAACTTTTAAATGTTTTAGATTAAAAAACAAAACAAAACAGGAAACAAACAAAAAAAAAAGTATATTGTAAACGCATTTATTCTGAACAGAACAATAAGTTTATTGATGTTTCAAGGAATTCAGATTGAGTCTACAACCTGTATGTACATTATGAGCTCATGTAAGAGATATTACAGTCAGGCCATACAACCATGCTGCAGACTTGTTTTGTCACTCAAGGTTTCCTTAAACATCAGCGCCAGCAGAATACCAACCAACTTCAGGAGAAAAGTCGATGGCCTTATTTGATATTTTCATTCAATTGCTATGATTTTCAGAGCTTCCACAAGAGCCTGGCTGCATCTCCCCTTCTGTCTGTATTGACCCAACAAGCATGTTTGCTTGTGATCCCAGCATGCGTGTTTATGGGAAGATCTTGGGAAAAGTAAGCTATTAGCAGTCATATGGAGCTTGGACGTCTGACTGTCCTCCAATGTCTTTGGCTAGATGTAGCCAAGAAAATGGCTTAGTTTCACTGAAGGCGTAGAGAGAATTGATTGGATTATAGTGACCGGTGGTGGAATATCCTGTAGGCCGATTTAAACAGACATGCCTCAGTGACAGCATCTGATGTGAAATAATTCAATCTGGATAAACATGTAACCCAAATAATGAACCTGGTTAATCCAATAGACAGAATTACAAGGCATGAGGAGAAGAGACATGCCTGGTCTCAGTCACAACTGAAGCAGTTTGCAAGCCAACCTTTCGAGACATCCACAATAAATAGCAAGACCTGTGCCAAGGACCAATACGGGGCCACGCTGTAACCTATAACCTAAAAGAGGGAAAAAGGGAATTAGAACATGGCTGTAGTAGTGTAAACATGGCTTAACCCCTTCATGACTGAGGCCTTTTTTTCATTTTTTGCACCCATGTGTTATATTCCACATTTTAGGCCTGAAAATTACTTAAAACCCCCAACATTATATATTTTCTAAATGCCAAGACCCTATACAATATAATGGTGGTAGTTGCAAATTTTTATGTTGCGCAATATTAGCGCAACTCCTTATTAAACCCCAAAATGTATTTAGTGATAAATTTAATTAAATGCCCCAAAACACAACAAAACACCCATTTTTTAAATGAAATATAAAAGATGAGGTTACAGCGAGTAAAACGATACCCAACATGCCCAGTTTACAAATTGCGTGCGTCCGTGAAACGGTGAAAAAATGCAGTACCCCAAAAAGTCCACAGAAGACACTTTAAAAGCCCCCACAGGTCATCAATTTAGAGATACCCCAAAATACTGGCCCTAGAATTATTGCTCTCACTCCGGCGTGCGCGGCCATACCCAACATGTGTAGCGCGTTCGTCGTGGGGGCGGGAGACTTAACATTTTTTTATTATTAAATTTATTTTGATTTTAAATTTTAAAAACTTTTTTTTTTACTTTACTTTGACAGCTATGACATGGGGGGGCTTACAAGCCCCCCCATGTGATAGCAGATGGTGGTGACAGGTACTCTTTAAGGTGATGCTGGGGGTCCAAAAGACCCCCAGTGTCACCTTTACACTGGAAATAAGCTATTGAAGTGCAGATCGCACATCAATAGCTTATAGCTGGGCTGCAGGAGCCCAGAACTGACAGCCAAGGGACCGGGAGGGGATCGATGAACGGAAGTTCGTCGACCTCCTCCCCAGCACCCCAAGGACGCCGGTCCCGTAGGAGGGGCAACGGAGCCCGGGAAGCGCGGTGGCGGTGTCCGGCGGGGTTGGGGCGGCCCCTTCTTCGGGACACAGAAGAGATCTGGTGACAGGTAAGTCACCAGAATTGCTTTTGTTGTAAAGCCGGCAGTCGGCTCTACAAGTTTAAACAGACTCCCGGCGGCAAAAGTCGCCGGGAGTCTGTTTAAACAGCCCCGATGCTGGCGACGTACACTGTAAACGTCGTCAGTCACGAAGGGGTTAAATACACAATATGTACAGTAATACCTTGGTTTACGAGCATAATTCGTTCTGGAAGCATGCTTGTAATCCAAAGCGCTTGTATATCAAAGCGAATTTCCCCATAGGAAATAATGGAAATTAGGGCTGTCCCGATACCGATGCTATTGCATTGTCGTTAAACAGACTCATCGCTCGCACTGCTACAGCCTTATTCGGGTGGTGCTTTTCTACAAAATTTTGCTCTTAGTGCAAGTTGCTTAGTGCACATTTGCTTGTATATCAAGGCAACATTTTTCAGAAATGTTTGCTTGTCTTGCAAAACACTCTCACACCAAGTTACTTGTAAACCAAGGTATTACTGTATATCATGGCAGTAGGCTGCTATTAGTGACATAACTAGAAATAGGTGATTTGGCTGTATAACTTTCTCTAATGCTGGCCACAGACCTTACAACCATCGCAAGACTTTTGTCTTGCGATGGTTTTAAGATAATTTAAAAAAACATAAGATCTGCCCATCTTGGACAGGCAGATGGTACTAGCAATAATCGCAAGCCCGCCCCCCTGAGGGGCGGGCTTCCGTTGACCGCAATGCTGAATGGGCAGTGTGCGCTTGCGCACACCAGCTCATGCAGCATTTCTTACGAACATGCCACACCCGCCGACAATCGTAAGATTAAAGTCGTGCGACCGTACAGTAGAAGCGGTCGCACGTCTTGAGCACACCTTGCGGTAATCGTACGATCGCGGGATTTCCCGCGATTATCGAAAGGTGTGTGGGCACCTTTATAGAGAGCGCGAGATCTCCACTGTAGCCACAGGAGGTATTTTCTTGGAGAAACTAGCTGCCCAATCAGAAGAATTGCACTAATCAAGAATTACTAATTCAAAGTTGTACAATTCTCTACAGATTCGTCAAACCAGCAAAGACACATTCAAGAGAACTGCAATTTCAGATTACAAAGAGGTACAACGTAGACGAAAAGTTAGTCTAAATAAACCCACAAATAAGACCTTCAACCCAACCCCCTTCACTAAAAACCACATTAGTGTGCGGCTCTGCATGCCGATATGAAATCATCTTTGATTCATAAACATATTTTGCCCTTACTTACAATTAGTTTTTCCACTTCCCGATCTTAGGCATTAGTGATGTTGCCCATGCCAAAGAGATGCACCCTGGGAAGATCACATCACCCGAGCATTGCTGGGAAATGTCATCTGTGAACTGCAAAATCTCCCAAGATCTCAGGGAAAGGCATTCACCCACCCCGAGATGATGTGCATGGTCACATGTCCTGGCTACATGGCCAGAGTACCAGAAAGTAAAGGGAAATGGATGAATCTGCCCTTAGTGAAAATGGGGAGGAAAAGAAAAAACAAGGTATGCAAAGAATAAAAAGCCTGCAGTCTAGAAGTATGTTTTTAGACATGTTTAGTAATGACAATCTACGAAAGGTGTCTTTGCTGTCATTTTAAAGAGAAGGGTGAAGTTCCTCTTTAAGGAGATCCACTCAGTTGCTTACGACATTTCATACAAACCTTTCCATTATAAAAGTTTTCTTCAACTAAACCTTATGGAAGCGCTGAAACAATTTATACATTGATTTCACACTAAACGATCTTTCCCACCCAAAATTCACCCCCACCACTAGTTGTGGGCATCCCTCATTCCCAATCTTCTCTAGAAAACTAAGTCAGAAACTGTTGATTTTGGACTTTCAAAATTGCCTGACTCTTAAATTGGAAAACTGAGCATCAAGTGTCCACTAATCAATTCAACTGCAAAATGGCTGCTATAAAGGGACATATTGGGTTACATCTACAACACCAGACAAAGAAAGGAGGGGATATTCCAAAACTAATGTAGATGCAGTAGATGTCTCGCATATTCCAGCAAAGTTTTTACAACCCGCTCAGACATTAAACTTTATAACCATTTACGTTAGCATAAACGCCCCTATCCTGCATACCCATATTCTAAAACAAAATTTCACTGAAAGAGATTGAACACAATTATATCACAATGTCCCATACACTCTGCCCTCAGACCCCAGGGTTGGCAAACACACCAGACCCCGAGACAGCCAAAATTTGCCTCACATTACCAGCATGGGATGCTGACAATTCTCAAAGTGCAAGGATGGAAATCGTCATAGGGCAGAGGATATCCAGCAAATTAAAAATCCCTGAAATCAAGTACAATAATTCAAATTTGTGACTGAACTTTGGTGTATGGGTTAAGGAAACTTATTCTTGCAGACTATTCAAACAGGAAACATTCTGTGCAAGTTATTTTGCAGTAAACGCTAGTGAAGTTTGGGCTAAACCAGTGATTTTCTGTAGTTAAGCTGCTATCAATAACTCTGTTAACTTTTTACTAACTACCCAATAACACAAACCTAAACTGTACCAGCAGATACCTTAATCCAGTGGTTCTCAAACTGTGTAACCTCAGGACCCACATTTGTCCTTGGTCATTAAGTCGTGACCCAAGTTGCACTGCAATGTAATGCGCGGCATTGCGGTACTGCGAGTTCCGATGCGGGCAATAGAACTGTGGGTGGGAGGTGCGTTTGGGGTGCCATTCAAATGAATGGCAATGCACTTCACACCAGCACACATGGTAGGTGCGATTGCGTGGTACAGTGTGTTATTCGCACGGGACTGTGCCATTGACGCACTGTACTAGTGTGAATGGGCCCTCAAAGACACTGAGACACACACAACCACAGACACAATCTTACACACATACACACTCCCAAAAATAAATAATTTTTGTTTTTAAGATCCACCCAGTCTCCCTATCTTACGAGAACTGGATCCTCAGCCTGGGGTCCGGTGTGGGCTGCTGTGCTGGAGTTCCATCCATATGTGCATTGCTTGTACAACTCCCATGCACACCCTTTAGAGGTGCCGGGAGCCAGAATGTGATGTCACTCCGGTCCAGGCACCTCTACAGGACATGAGGGATCTGTAAGCAATGCACTTAGGGATGGAGCCCACCCCACCTCAAGCTGACACTCTGTACTGGGCAGCGTATTTTGAATGGCTGCTTGACCTCTCACTTAAAAAAGTGGAAAGCACACGGGGACCCACTTTTGGGTCAGGACGCACCAGTTGAGAAACAAGGCCTTAATCTTTTAAAAGAGCTTTTAGCCCCAAAACTCAGAGCATGCTACATAGGAATCATCCAATGCCTAGGTGTTTGGGACTGCCATGTTTTTTCCAATCATGTTGACGGGAAGATATAACGGATGCACATACCAGTGTCAGTCAGGAATTTTCTGCTACATTCCACAGACAAAGCATTAAGCAAAACAGGAGTCCTGGAAGAGATGTAATCTATCTCAATCAAAACAGATGCTGCGTGACAGTGCAAGTACTCTTGATTAGAAGTATGGCAAGAAGTGGAGAAAAAAAAAAATCCCACACATTGACTTGGCTTGGTTGTGCTGAAATCTCAGACTGCATATGCAGCCAAGCAATCTTCTGATGCTCCTTGTTCAAACCATAAAAGCCAGTAACTGGGCAGGAGCCATTAAATACACATCAACTCTATTAATAATCAGAGTTAAAAGAGCAGCTATCCATGCCGACTTGTTTTCGGACTTCCAAAGTCCTTATCCAAAATAAATAGGAACCTTTAACGCCTGCAACATTTTAACTTTTATACACCGTAAGCTTGAGATATTAAGTAGTATTAGGAGGGTAAAAGATACTCTTCCCAATACTTGGAGCCGGTGTGGGACAATGCAGCTGTCAAACACCAGCTCCATTACCAAGAGCTGGTCAATCATGAACCGCTTATCGCTCAGCTCACGGATTCTCCCTGCAGAGAGCAGTAGCTGTCAGTCTGTGCTCCCTGCAGAGAGGGTGGGCACAGCTGGCTCTAGGAGGCAGAATCAGCTGTCAATCAGGCAGAGGGATGTATCGTGACAATACTGTCGGGATCTTTCCTGGCTGTAGTGCGGCTCTGTCCTGTTAGCATATAGTGGGCAGCAGCACGCTATTTGCTGACTTTGCGTCACAGAAATATGATCGTAAATATACTCTGACCCAAAAGAAAAAAGGTTTGGCTTGATTTCTCTTAACAATGACCTTTAAAAAGGTGCAAAGAAAAAAAAAATCCTCACCTTCCTCATACTCGCCTCTAATGTGAACTGAAGTATAACATAATTTCACAGATACAAATTTCCACAAGAGTCCAGTAGTAGGATCAGATAAGCCTTTGACACCACTATTTAGATTCACCATTTGTTTTTTTTATAACTTACGTGATCTCTCGGAATGCCCGCTTCTCCACGTATTTTACCTTCAGCTTTCGTTTGAACCTGCAGGAAGCAAGAAAAAAAACAGTTAAAGATCTAACCACATGTTTTTATTGTCCTGTGGCCATTGTTGGGAAGATCATAAGCCAAAACATACATTAAATTTTTTTTTTTTTTAAATAAGGTCTTGATCACACCATGCCTGTCAAGTTGTGCTTTTCCGCACCGCAGATGTATGGTGTAAATAGGACACAGAACAAATTATTTTCTATTTGCCCTGTTCACATCAAACATGTGCGGTGGCGTGCATTAAGGCAGCTCAACGGACATGATGTGAACAAGCCCTTAATGTGTTTGTGAGACTATTTTCACAGCTTGCCATTGTGCAAAAAAACCCAAAAGTTATATATTGTCTCTATCTATATCTTTTTCCAAATGCAAGAGCATAATCATAGATTAAGCCTAGCGATGTCTTATTCTAAAATTATTATTTGTAAAACTTGGAGGCAAGAGGTATAACGATGCCCTAGGTTTTATGATGATTGTTGTAGATGCCGATTAGCACGATTCATAAATAGACGCGCTTTAAAATATCCCCTTGCTGCATTCTTACAATAAAGTAAATCCTGGCTGAAGTTTGTCCAATCAACCATAGCGTGGACTTTGAGGGTCAAAAACTGGATAAAACATCTTAAAGATTTTTGACTTGCCAGTAAAAATCCGTTTCTTGCAGTACAGGACAGAGGCAGATTTAGGGACGACTGATGAAAATTACCCAGTCTATGAATCTGCCTGTGTCCTGAACGTTAAAGAAATCTTATTACCTATCCTGCCAGGCCTGTTGTGATTGGAAAGTTCTGGCGATCTTCTGTCTAACCAGTGCTGTCACAAACATAATGGACAATACCCAATGATGTTGATTTATACATCCATAAGTATAAGACCTCTTTTATGACCAGGGACTGGGAGGTTGGAGGGTCAGGGGCATAGAAAACAAAAAACTATGTTAATGGCTAGCGACAGCCTGAATCGTATAGGTTTGCCCACAGTTCCACTTTAAATGCTACAAAATCTGCAGAGTAAGACGGACACTTATGCAGGACTCAGGAGGCAAGCAGATTTTAGGAGCCAACAAGAAGTTCAAGCCAAAGAACAAATGCTTCTGCTGACAATAGCAAAGACATAAAAACGTAGGCGTCAGCTGTAATTGTTTAAGGCACCCTGGCCCTTAGGATTTATAGAACCTGGAGAAAACTTGTTTACAGATTACAATAATTCACCACCATACTCAGTCAGCACTCACTTGGCTCGCTCTCTTGGTTCAATGAGACTTCTCTTCTGGAAACTTTTGAATCGGTCTTTGGCTAGACTTCCCTCTGGCTACATAAAATGGAGACAAGATATTCAATGAATGCTTTCTTCAGTTATATTTTATATTTATACTTATGAAATAAACAAAATATATTTAAGTATATTTTCAGCACTTATCCTTTATGCTTACATGTCCTTGCAGCCTGCTAAAACAAAAAAGTCAGATGCCAGAGGTAACTGATCTTCTGATAAGCAGTGTTATTTTCTTCCTCAGCACCTTTTTAATACCTACTTCTCACCACTCCCGTCTTTTAATACATACTGTTTACTAATCGGTATTATGATGGAAAGGCTATTTCCTCTAATGTTTATTCATACCCCACTTAATGCCTCCAAAAGCAACACCATTTCGCTCCTCAATGACAAGCCCTGATCTCTACAGGTTAATACTAGGGATGCACCGACAATTTTTCGGTATTAAGTACAAATACTTATTTTTTTTTCCGGTACTCGCCGATAAATACAGATACAGGAAGTCCTTTTAACCCCTTCGTGACTGACGACGTACAGTGTACGTCGCCAGCATCGGGGCTGTTTAAACAGACTCCCGGCGACTTTTGCCGCCGGGAGTCTGTTTAAACTTGTAGAGCCGACTGTCGGCTTTACAACAGAAGCGATCCTGGCGACTTACCTGTCGCCAGATCGCTTCTGCGTCCCGAAGAAGGGGCCGCCCCCCCCCCGCCGGACACCCCCGCCGTGCTTCCCGGGCTCCGTTGCCCCTCCTACGGGCCCGGGACCGGCGATCTTTGTGTCCGCGGGGAGCTGGGGAGGAGGTCGACGAACTTCCGTTCATCGATCCCCTCCCCGTTCTATGGGACCGGGAGCGATGCAGATTGCATCACTTCCGGTCCCTGGGCTGTCAGTTCTGGGCTCCTGCAGCCCAGCTATAAGCTATTGAAGTGCGATCTGCACTTCAATAGCTTATTTCCAGTGTAAAGGTGACACTGAGGGTCTTTTGGACCCCCAGCATCACCTTAAAGAGGACCTGTCACCACCATCTGCTATTACATGGGGGGGCTTGCAAGCCCCCCCATGTGATAGCAGTCAAAGTAAAGTAAAAAAAAAAAAAAAAAAACTGTTTTTAAAATTAAAATGAAATAAAATAAATCTAATAATAATAAAAAAAAATTTAAAAGTACCCCGCCCCCGCGCCCACGCGCGTCGCCACGTAAACACGCGTCGGGTGCGCCTACGCATGAAAACGACGAACGCGCTACACATGTTGGGTATCGCCGCGCACGCCGGAGTGAGAGCAATAATTCTAGGGCCAGTATTTTGGGGTATCTCTAAATTGATGACCTGTGGGGGCTTTTAAAGTGTCTTTTATTGATTTTTTGGGGTACTGCAGTTTTTCGCCGTTTCACGGTCGCACGCAATCTGTAAAATGGGCATGTTGGGTATCGTTTTACTCGTTGTAACCTCATCTTTTATATTTCATTAAAAAAATGGGTAATTTGTTGTGTTTTGGGGCATTTAATTAAATTTGTCACTAAATTTTGGGGTTTAATAAGGAGTTGCGCTAATATTGCGCAACATAAAAATTTTCAACTACCACCATTTTATTCTATAGGGTCTTGGCATTCAGAAAATATATAATGTTGGGGGGTTTTACGTCATTTTCAGGCCTAAAATGTGGAACATAACATGGGTGCAAAAATGGAAAAAAGGGCCTCAGTCATGAAGGGGTTAAGGAAGCCAGGCAGTGTGTAATGACTCGCTGGGAAGCCGTCCCCATGCTCCCTCGTCACTAGGTGATGAGGAAGCATGGAGACAGCTTCACAACCAATCAGGAAGCCGGCCAGCAAGTCTTTTACACACTGCTTCTCGATTGGCCGGGAATCCACCTCCATGGTCCTTCATCACCATGTACTGACTCGCCGCCCGGCTTCCACTATCGGGAACATTTGTACGAGTACTCGCCCAAATACTCGGTATGAGCATCGGTGCATCCCTAGTTAATACCTTCCATTTAATAACCGGTTCCCCTTTAGCCATAAGTGACCCCTTCTTAAGAGTTAAATATTGCTCATACCACCACTGGTGCACCAGCTGTCTGCTTTTGGTTATCACAGCCCATTGGCATTTCTATTTCTCTTTGCAAAAACTATTTACCATCTAACAACTTTCATGTGTTTATCTGTTCCCCTACACCTGAGGTGTGCAACAAGAGGCCCGCTATGCTCCAGATCTTAATTCAGCACTGGAGAACAGTAGTAAGTGACAGCAGCTCCTGTGGGCTTTAGCAGTGGAACCGCTGGCTGTAACAGCAGTGCAGTTCTAAGCCAAGGAGCTAAACGAAAACTTTTGGCAAGTGGCTAAACACAAGGATGAAATACAGTATATGGGGAGCGGTTATCACCTGTCAAAAGGATTTGTAGCTCTCTTCATCCAGTGCTCAGATTTACACAGCTCTACAACACAGCCGGGGCTACAACCAATCGATGAGAATAGTTGTCAACAGCAAGCAGTGGGCAGGTGCAATAGCTAGCCTGCTATTGCAATTTGAAATGGCTAAGACTGGCTATTGCACCAGGCCACTAGTGTAAATTGAGCTGCCATCTGCAGAATCTTGCCACTGGCAGCTGTCAATTCTCTGGCTGAAGCTTTGCAAGCGCCATGTGCTTACAATACAATAAAAAAAAAAAAAGTGGGAAGTAATTTCTTGTTTTGGCCTGACAAATTCTGCTGCAGGTGGTGTATTGCAGTACCATTCATTTCAATGGCACCTCAAATGTGCCTCCCACCCAGTGTGATCACCCGCATTAGAATGCATGGTACTGCAATGCCGTGCGTTCTAGTGTAGTGTAAAAAATTGTGCATGCAGCTGTATTCTGAAGTAAACTGTTTGCCTATATATATATATTTTTTAAATCAGATTAAATGGGGGGAAAAAATTGGCCAATTGATTATGAAAAGAAAATAGTTAGTTGTAGCCCTGTGTGGCTGGAGAAACAACCTGGTTTTCTTTGCTGCAGTTAAAACACTATCAATCTTGTCCCTGCCCCAAAGCAACAGACTGAGTTAATTCCTGTTCTCCCCATCAGCACATTCCTTTTTAGAACAGGAGCAATGTAGCACAACTAATGGGTTCCTTGTGCCACTTTTCCCTCTCAGTCTGAGCTCTGCAAGAGGCCAATACCAAGTCCCATTCAGGTCCTTACATTTAAGATATAAATATATGTATTTATGAATAACTTTGAGCTTAGGATCTACTATATCAGAACGCCATAAGAGCGCTCTGAAGCAGAACACAACGCTCCTCTATTGTGTTCAAGGGGATGTAAAGGTAAAGCCCCTTACGCTGACAAATCCACCAGATTTACATTGCACAAGCAGTCTGATATTGTTTTCCTTCATAATACATTAACCTATGTCACAAGGTCTAATAGTCCAAGCAAAAAAACTGAACTGATACAGTCCAATAACAAACCCATTTTGGATCATATTTGGACTCTGCACAGAGTTTGGATTTAAATGCAGCACAAACACAAACTGATGAAACATTTCTATTCGTATACAAGGTATTTCTATACATTTCCATCCATAGGCTTATCCACATGCAGTATTCTATAGTATAGGTCATGCTTTATCCCATGCGTATATAGGAGAAAGAGTTTACCTTTATCTTCCGCAGGGAGTCTGTTAGCTCTTCACTCAGAAGGACATCAATATCGGGCTCCTTGTACCTTTAAGAAGAGATAAAGCAGAGGTTATGTCAGAAGCATTCCTTCATGGTTCAGATTACCACCATTACCTGGAATTACTATAAAGATTAATGAAGGGGTTTTAAACTACATCCACACTTTTTTTGGATAGGAGTAGGGAGACTTGTCAGTTTTTTTTTTTGCCATCTGTGTCCCACTGAAGAAAATTAACCTCACTTGCTGACAACAGGAAGTGATATGAAATCTCACAAACTCCCTGTTAAACTGACCATACGCCTATAGATTATCTGCAGATTTTCTATGGTCAGATGGAAAAAGTGCTACAGATTCCTCCATCTACTCTAAGCTTCAGTATCTTGCTAGTTGGCCCCACTGGCTGTCAAAATACCTGAACAATGCCTGCATCCAATCAGACTGTTCAGGTATTTTGAGAGCCAGTGGGGCCAACTAGCAAGATACTGAAGATTGGCCCAGTGAGAGATTCCTCCATCCACACAGTTTAGCGTAGATGGAGGAATCTGTAGCACTTTTGCATCTGACCACAGAAAGTCTGCAAATAAGCTATAGGTGTATGGCCAGCTTAAGCCAGTAGTCACTGAGAAGTACTCATGGAGTCTTAGTTTCAATTCTCTCTCACTTTTAACTCTAGTCATAATGGTCACCAGGACAAATAGGGTGAAGGTCCCAAGCAGGAACTCTGACAGCAATAAAAACCTGACAGATGTCAACACATTTTTGTGGCTATGAACAGAGTCCAGATTAATTTTTGATTTAGTGGTAGGAAAAATGATCATTTTAAAATGTACAACTTGTTAAACTCCTCCCTCCACCTTCGGGGTCCTTTGGTACTCAGACACCATATGTTATGCAAACAATGACAGTTAATAGCCAAACCAGCATTATACTGTCTACGCGCATGTTGAATGGCAGGTTTAAAATGTCTACAATAGTGTGCACAAGCCAGCTTTTCAAGGAGGATGTGGACAAACCATCTTACCAGAAAGTGAGCGGCAGTGTCCAGACTGAAAAAAAACAATAAAAAAAAAAAAAGGAAACCCACACAAGCAGATATATTGTAATGCCTAAACCTTATCCTAAT